ATAGAATTCTTATATCGGGATATGAGCTTTTGGTCATATCGCACAGCCCTAGGTACACCCGTTTGGCTGCTTGTTTGTCAGTTATCTAATCAGCCATGGCAGCAATGCATTTGGGCATGCAGTCAGATGACTTTGAACGTGGTGTGATTGGTCTACTAGGATTTTCCCTCTAAAACATCTCTAGAGTTTGCAAAGACTGGTCCAAAAAACAGAAAATATCCCATGAGCAGCTGTTCTCTGGGTGCTTTGTTGATGCCAGAGGTCAGACTGCTTCACGCTAATTGGAAGGCAACAGTAACTCCAATAATCACTCGTTACAACCAAGGTATGCAGAAGAGCATCTCTGAATGCAAATATACAACAGCAGAAGACCACACTGGGTGACACTCTCAGCTCCAAACAGGAAACTGAGGCTACAGTTGACACAGGCTGACCAAAATTGGATATTGGTCACCTGGTTGTGTGAGTCTTTTTCCTGCCACATTTTGATGTTAGGGTCAGAATTTGGTTTAAACAACATGAAAGCGTGAACAAGTTGCCTCCAATGGTCTTCTGGTTTTACACATTTGCTTGGCAAGTAAAAAGGCAGCAGAGCTAATCACACAGCCAGTGCTGGGCTTAGCTGTTCTAAGGATTTTAATGATTGAAAGACTGCAGCAGGAGGTTTATGTGGACAATAAGTGCCCATTGCCTGCAGTCTGTTCACTTGTTTTTTCTTCTCTTTTAAATGGTGATATAATGTAATTGAAACATGCCAGTCACTGAAAAATAGATTTAGTTTCTATGTTTAAATCGTTACCAAAAAAAGTATTTTGTGGAACATAATATAAAGCTGCACTGAACACGATCTGGGATTTGTTTTATCCGCAGGCTCGGAAGGAGCCGTGTTCGGACATTCAGTGGAGACTCCCCTGATCCAGGCGAGGGCTTCTGAAGACCTGAAGTAAGTTCATATTCAATGACTTTACTGAAATTCATTAAAGCTTAATGTCATCCGTTCATGTCCTGTTAAATGAAAATTAAGATCTTTAAATAATGATGATAGATGTTCTGTGGCATTTCAAAGTCAATGACTGTGCTTAAAAAAAACACATGTGGCAGGAGCCATTATTCACCACTATCATTATCTCAAGCAACCTCTTGTACTCAAGCGTCTCCTGGTCGCCTTGTTATGATACAAATGTAAAAGAAGATTTGAACAGTTTTACAGCCGAGGGTTGAGCTAATTTGTTAGTTATTCTCTGGCAGGCAGGATTTGATTAAAGCACTAAGAGAGCTTGGAGAGAAGGGGGTAAGGTTGAGCTACGTGTTGGAGTCCTATACTCCCTCGTGCATGTGATCCTCACTGCACTCTGCCTGAGGCTCTGAGCCCTGCGTCGGTCCATTAACGAGCTATAACGAGTGTGGTTTGTTGTCCACCTTACTGGTCCTGAAAGGAGGGCTGGGATCAAAGTTGGCAGAAAAAGCGGTGTTCTGGCAGCTAATTCCCCCAGAGTGAGAGGAATACTGATGAGTTTCACTTTAAAGCGAGTGCGCACACACAGGACTCACACAGACACACACAGGCTCAGCTCAGGAGCGACCATCTGCAATGTGGTCAAAGTCTTAATGAGAGGAAACCGAACAGGAGACGGTCGACACACAGAAACGGCAACATGACTTAAGCTGGGCTCTGATTTTCTTCTTTTTAAAAGCATATTCGATCAAAGATATTTAATTTATCAAAGGTTGATTCTGTTTGGGTTTAATTTAAAGATTTCCAAATTGAATTTCCTAAAATCCACGATGCCGTCTGACTGTGGACGACTGTCTTCCCTCACTGGCGAATTACTGAAGTATTTCCAAGCAAACAGATGTACAAACTGTACTGTGAGGACTAAATAAAGACTCCTTTTATATAAACCTAATTTTCTTTCCAAATGTCTTATGAAAGATTTTTAATTTTTAATTTTTTATGTTGAGTCAAACGGTTTTCTTAAAAAAGCAAAATGAAGGAAACATAATCCTGTGAGTTATTTATGACATCACTTGAAGCCTAATAACATTCTGTCTGTTTATTGAATAAGTGGGTTGTGGGCAAAACAACATTGCTGTTGACGCAAAATAAATATAAAAGTTTATTTATTTTATTTTATTTTATTATAATTCACAGAAATCTTCAGAGGATATCCTGGTAGGCCTGCTTCCTCTTTAGTTATTGCAAGCTATTAAAATAATCACTGAACAGCTTTTTAATCAGATTTTTTCACATTTAAATCTATAACCAAATGTATTTTTACCTGCAAATGAGCAAAATCACAATTTTTATCTCTTAGTTGCAGTCATGAAAAAAAAAAAATGCAGGACTCTTTTCTTGTGAAAAACTTGAGCTTAATGCTTCCATGATAGTTAAGAAGTCGCAGCAAGGTTATTCTAATCAAATATACTTGCTTAATTGATCATCAGCAAGTGTGAGCACCTCAATGAAAGCAAAGGTTTTGGCATTTTGCTGGTCTGGAGCATTTAACTGTTCGTTAACACGATGCCACAATCTTCTCAGGAGTGGAAGTGCCAGCAAATTCAGACCAAGTTCAAACTATGCTCAGAGAAACTACCAAAAACCCAAGAGCTTTACTCAGACTGTACAGGCCTCAGTTATCATGTTAAATGTTAAAGATCATGACAGTAAAATTAGAAAAACAATAACAAGCATGGCTTGTGAAGAGAAAGAATATATCAGTATGGGCTATGTTTTAAAGTGGCATCTGAACACAAGACTTCTTCAGAGAGATGAGACCAAAGTGAAGATGTTTGGTTGTAATGTGCAGCACCAAATTTGGAGAAAACGTAACACTTCATACCAGCTGTAAAGCACGGCGGTGAATGGGATGAAGACTTGGGTTTGTTTTGCAGCCACAGGTGCTGGATATCTTGCACTGGCTGAGTCGACCATGAACCCCTCTGAGTACCAAAGTGTTCTGAAGTCCAATGTGAGGACATCTGTCCAACAGATAAACTTTGACTGGACCACTGCAACAATCCTGATGCTTTTCTTTTTTAGCAGATTTGTCGCTGTGCTTTGGATCATTGTCCTATTGCATGACCCAATTTCAGCCAAAGTCCAGACTTCAACTGAAACTGAAATAATGTTGGGTATTACCTTAAGAGAGCTGTGCATAAATGAAAGCCCGTAAACATCAATGAACTGAAGCAACATTGTAAAGAAGAGATGCGTAAAATTCATCCACAAGAATGTGAGAAGTTGATGTATACATGCTGAAAACGATTACTTAAACTTATTGCTGCCAAACTTGGTTCTGCAACCAAGTGATTCGTGGGGTGTTCTTGGTTTTTCAGAGATTCCTGTGAAAACTTTCTTGTCCACATGAGTGTAAATGACCAAGATTCAGATTAAAGAGTAAAAGTCTCTTGCATATTTTAAATTCAGTATGTCAGTGGTTACATTTCTTAAATACTAAACTAGGCTTTACAGTAGAAATTGGATGAAGTGGAACGTTTAATATTTTGTCCACAGAAAAATAAAAATGTAATCTTAACCTTGAATTAGTGAATTAGAAACTACTTTCCTTTGTCCATTAGATGTTTTTTTCCAGCAATGAGCAGTTAAAGCAGCCATGTTTTGAGACTGTGAAAGCGTGACTGTTTCCTAAAATAACCCAACTCTCATACTGTGCCAGCAAAACTCCATCCCCACAATCGCAAAGCAGAGACTTTTCATGATATAGCCAAACAGTAAAATGTGAGCTGGAATAGCCTCGAATGATTACACACGTAGATCTAATGAAGTAGTCAGTAAGGTGACATCATCTTCAGAAAACACTGTCACTAAAGTAAAATATATACTTAGATTTTTACTTTAATGCCCAATATAGCTCATTCAACAATTGGATTATTTATCCAAAGAAAACATTTTTTTCCCACATCTCCAGTATTTCTTTTAAAAGTGGCATTTGCCTTGTTCAGCATTGTTTATGTATGCAGCTCTGGGCCTTTCCGTAAATGCTAATGAGGCTCTTCCCTCCCGCCACCTCGCTGAAATCATGACAAGTTAAGCCCTCCTTGCAAATCGTGTGTCACCTGTGCAGTAAGCCCCTCCGGATGATAAGGACACAGCTTGCCTTGCGTCCACGTCACCTTTCATTCCCCGTTTAAAGAAACATCACTCTCTTTGTGATGCGTTTTATTTCCCTGAAAGCCAGCGGTAATCTGGGAGATGAACAAAGCAGAGTCAAATCAAAGAAATCCACATGAGAACTTCTTCCTCTTTGAAGCACCTGTTCTTCTCCTGGAGTTTACCCGTGTACGCTGGCACTCAAGTCTGTCTTTGTTTGTTATGATCATTGCCTTTTGTGATTTAATTTCTTATTATGTGTGACTTTTACTGGTGGACAAGTGCAAATGACTTAGCCAGAGTGGCTTGCAGCATCTTTTGCATTGGCAGCCTATTTAAGCGTGAGACAACTGAGATGTACAAGTTTAAACTGGAATGAGAGAACTGGAAATCTGAATTTGTAAATCTATAATATGTATATTTGTTGATGTTGATGCAGACCTAGCAGGAGAACTACATCCTTCCAAACTACAATCAAGAGCAGGAATAAAATTGCAGTGACGGAGTTTCACATACTGGAAAGATTGTGCTTACTTTTCTTCATCTGCTGAGTCATCTGCTTTTTCTTAATTTGTTTTAGTGGCTGGTTGCCTTGTGAGAGTTCTTAGTTTATGTCAGAATATCACCTGATAGACTTTTGTGACACAGCTTCAAGTGAATTTGTAGGGACAATCTGAAAGCCTTACGTGCTTGGGACTCTAATATCCTGCTGGGGAATTTCAATGCTCACATGGTAAACAAATGTGTGACCGTTGGAAGGAACAGCCTCACAAAATAATAGTGTTTTTGTATTTGTTTTGCTTTCATGATAATCACTTTTTCTCCATTAGTGCACTTGGCAACAGGACATCCTAAGTCAGAACTTGATAATTGATTTTATAATCATATCATCAGACCTTATGTGTTGGACATTAAGGTAAAGAGTGGAGCAAAGCTTTCAACTAATCAAAACCAGGTGGTGAGAGGGTGCTCACCTATCAGAGGCCCTGATCTACAACATCTTCAATTCCCACCTCCAGCAGAGCTTTGACAGCATTCTGAGGGAGACTGAGTGGACCAGACTCCCCATGGCACCTCCATTGCCAAAGCAGCTACATGGAACAGCAGCCACGAGGTGGTCGGTGCCTGTTGTGGTGGTAACCCCAAACCAGATATTGGACACCAGAGGGCAGCTGTCAAGTTGAAGAAGTAGTCCTATTGAGCTTGATTTCACAGGCAGCCGACAAGTCAGGCCAACAGGCCAAGTGGATTGCAACCACAGCAATAGCTGAAGTCAAAATGTGGATGTTGGAGGAGTTCGGTAAGCAAGACTTTCGGTCGTCCTTAAGGCAATTCTTGGAAACAGGAATATCACACTGTGTAATCCTGACTGTATACTGTGCACAGTCAGGATGCAGTACCG